TGCACTATGGCGCCATCTAGCTGCTCATATAAAAACACACACACACACACACACACACACACACACACACACACACGAAGCCCTACGTGCCTTCGAAATACACATGGAGCAAATACAAAGTAACCTTGGGGGGAAGTGGTAGGTACCAGAAACTTGGCGATGTGTGTGAAGAGGAAGTCTTCTTTGAGAAGATGCTGCTCAGTCTGAATCTTGAAGGAAACTAGACATGCCATGGGGCAAGTAAGTGGTGTAGACAAATCACTCCAGGTTCTCTGTCAAGAAAACCCAGAATACAATCAAGGAGAGTCAGACGACTGAAAAGGACTGAACAACAACAAAGACATCCCTTGAGGCAAAGGACCTTTTGGGGCCTCCGTTTCCTCACGTATAAAATGGGCACACTTATCCCAGCTCTGCTTGCCTCACAGAGATGTTGTGAGGATTGAAGGAATGAGTGTCCCAATGGCATTGTGATTTGGAGTCAGGGAATCCCAGTGCTGTTCCTGGCTCTCCTGCTTCTTGCCTTTGCATTTTGGGGGAAGGTTACTTCCCCTCTCTTGGTCTCAGTTTCTCTCCTCTGTAAAAATGAAGGAGTTGGACTAGACAGTCTCTAAGGACCCTCCCACATTTTCTTTTTTGTAATGAAGGGTAGGGAAGGTGAGCAGGAGAAGATATATTGTTCCCAATTGAACAAAATTCAGTTAAAAATTAAATTAAAAACAAGAAGGATTACCTGGCCAAAATTTGGCAAGGATTGAAAATCCTGTCCTCCTTTTTATTTCCAACCACAAGTGGCTTTGAGGCGTCAGTGTAACACACACAATTTGACGTGACACAACATAAACTTTTAGAAATGAAGTTAATGGTTAAACCAATACCATTGCCATCCCTCCTGACTATATGAGGCTAAACGCACACAGTCTCCCATGCTTCCCTCACAGTCTGGATTTCTAGGTTCAAGAAAACGATCTCTTTCAAATATGAGGAATACTTTAGCACAGAGGTAATAAGATCCTGAAGGCTGGCAGTGGTCTAGGTATTGGTTTTGCACTTAGGGTTTAAATTCTATCCCTGCTAACTTTCATTTACCACCTCTGATCTTCTTTTCCCCTTTTCTACAAAAATGAGGTTGAATTTGATGACCTCTCGAACATCCCCCCAAAGCAGTCATCGTGCTTTGAAGTGAAGAACTACCTGGAAGAAAAAACCACTATTCCCAGAGGCAGCTCATTCCACTTGAAGGTTCCAGTTCTTAGGAAGGTTTTTCTAATGTTCTTGTTAATTTCTTCCTCCCGTGGTTCCTGACTCTGCCTTCTGAGTCCAAGGGAAACGAGTCTAATATCTTTTCCCTGTGATAGTCTTTTCTAACACTTGAACACAGTCATCATAGACTTTAGAGGTTCCTGCTAGCTCTGGTTCTATGGTCTTGCATCTTATGCCCCCATCCCCAAGGTGTCTCTCCTCAACGCTTAATACCCCTAGTTTCTTCACCCTCTGGAATCAGAGGACCTGAGTTCATAGGATCATAGATTTAAGGCTGGAAGGGACCTTAGAAGCTAAGCCCTTTATTTGACAGATGAGAAAATAGGCTTAAATGACTTGCTCATGGTCACTCAATTATTACGCGTCTTGATGTAGCAGTATCTGAACCCAGAGCTTTATCTATAATACCATCAACCTACTTTCAGAACTTGCCTCTGGCACTACCTACGTGACCTTGAACAAGTGAATGAATGTCCTTTTTTCTTATTTCTTCCTCTGAAAAATGAGGGGGTTGGGATAGATATATTCTGATTCATTCTGGTAGCTGTCCTCTGGAAGAGTTTTTCTTTAAAGATGATGCTAGGATTGGACACAATTCTCCAGTTGTGGTCTGACTGGAGTACACAATAGTGTGACTGTCCCTTTCTTACTCCTAATATGTATGCAGCTCTCATTAGGCAGCTAGGTGGCACAGCAGATAGAATGCTAGGCTTGGAGTCAGGAAGAAAATCTGGCTTCAGATGCTCCCTAGCTGTGTGACCCTGGCAAGTCACTTAACCCCATTTGCCTCAGTTCCTCATCTGTAAAATGATCCAGAGAAGTAAATGGCAAACCACTCCAGTAGCTTTGCAAGAAAACCCCAGATGGGGTCACAGTCAGACCCAAGTGAAACTGACTAAAGTACTATGCCTCTCTCAGATTCTTCCTCTGTAAAATGAGGGAAATGAATTAGTTGGGTCAGCTAGAAGCATTGTGGAAGAACATTGGGCCTGAAGTCACAAACACCGGAAGACCCTGAACTAGAAAGTTCACACTTATTAGCTGTGTGAGACTGGGCAAGTCATTTGTTCTCCGTTTCTCTCCTCTGCCTCAGTTTCCTCATCTGTAAAATGGAGACAATAATAGTACCCACCTCCCAGGGTTGTTGAGATCAGATGAGATAATAATTGTAAAGCACTTAGCACAGGGCCTGGCATATAGTAAGTGCTATGTAAATGTTAGTTATTGTTATCAACAGTGTCTAATGTCTCATGTAGATCTAAGCCTATTACATTAGCTGAAAATACATTTTGACGCTCTCCGATTTTGCTTCCCCAAGTTCATATGCACTCCCTTCTTTTTGGCAGCCATCCCTTTCTTCTCCAGACCCCAGAATTTCCTTTAATAGCCTTTTTTTAACTCATAGGCTCTCGGGAGGGGAAACATTGGTTACAGAAACTCTCTCAAGTAGCCATTCTGAAAATCCGCTGCCCAGTGATAAATGCTTAGGACTCTAATTCTCTTATTGGAAAGTGCCTGCTGTCCCAATGTTTAGCAGATTTGTAAAAATAATTCCTTGGAAAAGGTTACCATTCTTCCGAACAGCATTGGAGGGAAAAGCCCCCTTAAATCAAACGTCACAGTTGTGCAGGGACCAGGGAAGGGGCAAGGCAAAGTCATCGCTTTCTCCTTCCACGGTTGGCCTTCCCTTGGCTCCCCGCCAGCAACATTCTATTTTTTCCCGGACAGTTCCCTTGACCCGTGGGTCCTTCAGCCACAACCGAGGTGGCGCCTGCCTGAATCCAGCCGTGAAATTATGAAAGAATGGGCCGGCGGTTGGCTCCAGTTGTGCTAAGGCCTCAGATGTGAAATTGCCTCTTTTCCCCCCCCTTATAGCGGCCTGTCGCATGCCGGGCGGAAAAGATTGTATTTATCACCTGTCAGGATCTGGCAGAACTGAGTTACGTGGAGCAGGACAGCATAAAATTATCATACACAAGCATGAAATTACAAAATCGCTCGGAACTCAACAACAAAATTATTTCATTTCGCAGGGAGGCCATTCCATTTTTTAGCCCTGACACCTCGGCTGCCAAACTTTGAATTGAAATTGAGTGTGAGGTGTACGGAATAGAGACAGCAATAACAAGGAAAGGCATGTAAGCTAGCCATGCAAATACACTGCCTTAATGGCCCCGGAAACCTCCCACAGGAGAGATGTAACTAAATAAATGTCACATGTCCCAATAACTCAACTTTTCTCAAACAACAGGAAATGACTTATGCTGAGATCGGAGCTTGTCTTAGAGTCAGAGACTCACGGATGAGGCAGAGCCAGCAGGGGTCTAAGAATTGGGGATGTCAGAGCTAGGAGGGGCCTTAGAACAGTGGATGTCAGAGCTGGGAGGGGACTTAGAACAGGGGATGTCAGGGCTGGGAAGGGCTTTGGAACAGGGAATGTCAGAGCAGGGAGGGACTTTAGAACAGGGGATGCCAGAGCTGGGAGGGACCTTAGAACAAGGGATGTGAGAGCAGAGAGGGGCCTTAGAACAGTGGATGTCAGGGCTGGGAGGGGACTTAGAGAGCACAGAATCTCAAAGTTGGAAAGGAACTCAGAGGCCTTGTAGTCCAACCTGTAACTGAAAAAGACTTAGCTTAATATAAATCACCCCCCTCCTCCTAAATTGTTCACCCAGTATAAATTTAAAGATCTCAATTGAAGAGAAACTCATTCCGCTCCTAAGGTTGCTCCATCTACCTGTGAAGGGCTCTCATTGTTAACAATTTTTCCTCCTATAGATTGAGCCTCAAATTTGCTCTTTTTTTTTTTTATTACTATTTCCATCCATTGTTTCATGTTCTGTCGATTAGGGCCAAACCTTCTTCTACAAGACAGTTCTTCAGGTGCTTGAAGATAGTCATTATTTCTCCCTGTAAACACCACAATTTCCTTCATACAATCCTTGTATTGTATGATCTCTATTCTGCTACCCATTGGGCCTGAACATCTTCATTTGTACAGACTAAGTAAAAAAGATTGTTATATTTATTTTAAATTGAGGAAAATTCTTTTAACTTGGTATCATCACTCCATTTTCTTTTCTTTTTTTAATTATTAACCTTATTATTAATAAGTGATAAGTCCTTCCACTTGTAATAATGAATTATTTACTTAACAAACACCAAATGAAATGGATATTTCCAAATACAGAGTATAACAGAAGAAAAGGAATATGAGTATCTCAAATACGCACATATTGTTTTTCTTTTAAATAAATTCGATATGTAGCTTTCAAAGCTCTGCTATTTGTCTGCTCTTTCTGGTCTCTTTTCTCTGTTAGCTATGTCATATTTATCCTCTTTATAGCTTCTTTGTACTTATTTGTTTGCATGTTGTCTTCACCCAGTAGATTATGTCTTTTGTTACTCTTTGTATCCCTGGTACTTAGCACAAGACTTGGCTCATAGTAGGTCTTTGACTAATGCTTATTGACCTCCTAATGACTCTTTCATTCTCTTCTGAGCATTTAAAAAATGCTTTTGTGAATCTCTATCCTTCCTTCCTCTCTTCCTTCCCCTTCCTTCCTTCCTTCCTTCCTTCCTTCCTTCCTTCCTTCCTTCCTTCCTTCCTTCTTTTTGCTTTCCTCTCTCTCCCTTTCTCTCCCTATTCCTATTCTTATTGTAATCCCCTTTCTCCTTCCCACCTATCTTTGAAAAGGAAAAAAAGAAAAAGAAAAACAAAGCCCTTGTAACAAATGCATATTCAAGCAAAACAGATTCCAGCATCGGCCACATGTGAAAATGTGTGTCTTATTCTTCATTTTGGGTCCAACATCTTTCTCACTAGGTGAGTGACATGTGATGCAAGTTGTTTAAGGACATATGAGTAGCAAATAATAGAATGAAAATTTAAACACAGAAGGAAGGAAGGAAGGAAGGAAGGAAGGAAGGAAGGAAGGAAGGAGGAAGGGAGGGAGAAAAGAAGGAAAGAAAGAAGGAAGGACTTATCACTTACTATATTCAAGAAATTTTGGCAAACACTGGAGATTAAAAATAGAAGTGAAAAGAAAGGCAACGATGCCCTCAAAGAGCTTACATTCTAATGGCAGAAGACAACATACAAAGTAGAACCAAAAATCAAGGGGCACAGAGGAAAGTATCTGGCTTGGGCTGTGATTTTAAAGTCCAGAAGACAGATGCAAGGGGTGGTGTTGAAGGCTGTCCTGGGCTCCTCTTCAAAGTGTGGGAGGCTCTAGGAGGCCTCAAAGATGTTAAGTGGGTGTGGGCTTTAGAGGCGGATGTTCCTTGTCAAGAAGGCTGAGGAGTGGTCGGAGGTTTCCGGGTCAGCAGGCTCCAGGCATTGAGGAAAGTTCTAGGATAAGACAACATGGTTAAGATATCTTGGAGCCAGGAGGGGAATGAAGGCCAGCCTAGGCTCCTCCAAATAATGGAGGTCCTTTTTTCTTAATACATTAGTCTTTCTTGTGCATCATGGTTTTATATGACTCATAACCTAGAAGTCATCCTCAAATCTCTCTCTCTCCCCAGATCCAATCTGCTGCTAAGGGCTGGCGAGTTTACTTTCCTAATATCTTTCATATACATCCTCTTCTCTCCTCTGACAGGGTCACTGTCATGGTGACCACATCTGGAACCCATACTTTGTCAGTACCCCCTGCCCTGGTACCCTTCCCTCCCTCAGATTACAGAGTCGGGAGTGGAAGGCAGAGAGCTCCTCCTAGAATTTCCATATAAGGAGGGTGCTCAAGCCAGCTATCTCTTCATTTCCTACCAGACTAAGCGGCTCTGGACTCCATCACTCCCCGCACCATTGCTGCATACCACCCCCACCAGCTTTTTGTTTTTTATCTCCTCCATTAGATTGTGGGGTCCTTGAAGGCAGGGACTGTCTTTTGTATCATAGGCACTTAAATGTCTATTTAATGAATAGCTGACTGGTGCAGGTCCTTATTACCTCATTCCTGGACTGTTGCAATAACTTGTTAGGTGATCTCCCTAACTCACCACTCCAATGCATCTTTCACTCAGCTGTTAAATTGATCCTCCTAAGGGAAGACCTGATAATGTCATTCACACACACACACCCCCTTTCTATAAACTGTGATGGTTCCCTATTGCTTGAGGATCAAATAAAAAATATTCCATTTGACATGCAAAGCCCTTCCTAACATGGCTCCCTTCCACCTTTTCAGCCTTCTGACATCTTTGTTCCTCCTAAACAATGGTGCTCTGGCCATTCTTTGCATGGGATCCTCCATCTCCTCACTCCAGAGATTCTCACTGGCTGTCACCCGTGCTTAGAACATGCTATCCCCTCATTTCTACCTCTTGATCTCTCTGGCTTCCTTTGAGACCCATCTAAAACACTGTCTTCTACAAGATGCTCTTCCTGTTCTCCCTTAACCCTAACCTTCTGACTCTATTGAATGCCTCCAATTCACCCTATATGTAGGCTTCCTACAAAAGTCATCGAGGATTTTCTCTTTATCCTACATACAGCTTGCATGTTGTCTCCTCCATCAGCATATGAGTCCTTGAAGAGAGGAAGAGTTTTTTGCTTCTTTTTGTATCTTCAGTGCTTAGCACAGTGCCTGGCACATAGTAGGCACTTCATAAATGCTTACTGATTGATTGCTATAGCTCGTTTGTGCATAATTGTTTGCATATTGTCTCCTCCTTTATACTGTGAGGTCCTTGACAGTAGGGCAGTTCCTGCTTTTTTTTTTTGTCTTTCTTTGCATCTCTAGCCCTTAGCACAGTACTTGGAACATAGTAGGTACTGAATAAATGTTCACTGATGACTGACTGACTGCTTAAATATCTCCAATGAAGAAGAACCCATTATCTTACCAGACATTCTATTCCTTTGCTGGGTAGCTACTTGTTCCAACATCCTTTAGCCTAAGGCTCAATACAAATTTAACCTTAATTTACCTCTTTGTGCCTCACCCTTGGTTCTGCCCTCTGGGCTATGGAGGATATGTTCCTCTTTCACATGACCTTCCTTCAGATATTGGAAGCCACCAGTCATATCCTCCCCTAAGCCTTCTCATCTCTAGGATGAAAATGGTTTCTTCATCCAGCTGGACCCACCATGGTTGTGATTATTCTTTCTTTTGTAGGGTAAAATCTTGCAAGTACAGATCCAGAAGCAGATAGAATGACTCTGAAGAAAAGTCAGCGATGTTTATGAACAGGTTAGCCATATGGTACCATGTCTATTATATCCAGCAACTCATAGATAACCTGTATTAAAATATAAAGCATATAAATACAGAGAGTAAAGGATAAATAATATATTAATAAATAAATATAAAACAAAAGTAAAGTATAAATGTGGAGTAAAATATACATCCATGTTAATAAAAAGGAGTAACAACACTGATAAAATCCTTAATGTGTTGTATATTTATCCATTTTATAGATGAGGAAACTGAGGGTCAGAGATGTTGTGTGATTTATTTACATCACAGGTTTTTTTAAATTAAGTATTATGGATACCTTTGAATTCTTACATCATAGTCATTTCTGGATATCACCTCGTCAGGGTCAGTCTGCATATCCCAGTCTCTGCTCACTGCTCTTATCCTCCTAACAAAGAAAAAAAAAAGGAGGCCAAACCAGTAGCCATATTCAAGGGCTGGTCTTTGAACCGTTCTGCACCCATAGCTTCCCCATACTTCTCCAAGGAAACGAGAGCAATGCATTCACTCATCTCATTTGGAGGGCCAAGATTAGTTATAATTGCAGTGTTTGACTTCACTTGAGTCTTGCTTTTCCAAATTAGGGTTATTTTCCCCCTCTTCCTCTGTAATTACAGTATTATGTCTCTAGTTATTTTAGTTTAATCTTTGTTGTTATTCAGTCATTTCAGACTCTTCATAACCCCGTTTAGGTTTTCTTGGCAGAGGTACTGAGTGGTTTACCATTTCCTTCTCATTTGACAGACGAGGAAATTGAGGCAAATGGGGTGAAGTGACTTGCCCAAGGTCACCCAGCTAAGAAATTTCTGAGACTGGATTTGAACTCAGGAAGATAAATCTTTGTGACTCCAGGCTGGGCACTCTATCCACGGCACCACATAGCTGTCCAATAAAATGGTAGCATAGTTTTATACATGTTAAACGGTTAAGAAATACACAAATACTATAGCAAATAGTGGCACATGCTGTGGCCTTGGGCTGCTGCTTGGCCTGTGCCCCGGCTCCCGCAGATTCCAGGCTTGCAGAGTCAATGCTGCTGGACATCCTCTATCTGGTACATGGGGCTCCCCTGAGAAGTTGGAAGTGGGAGGTGGAGTTTGTGGGTTTGGACCAGCCTTCCTTCCACCATGACTCCTACTTCACCAGAAGATATACAATGTGTATGGTACTTTACCTTAAGAAAGACCCAAAGTTTACTTGTGGAGGCAGGTATCAGAAGGATTACTGCCCGTGCATTATTGTGAAGAGGTACACTTTTCTGTATGCTCCGTGTTTCTCACGGACAAAATCGTGCACAAGCAAATTCAAAATTCAAGTTATGCTCAATTTGTTCCTTAATGTATCAGTGGAATTGGAACGAATTCTAGTTTTCAAAACACAGCAGAATTGACTGTATTAGGATATTTCTTTATCTCCCCAGTGTTTATGACAGTGGTTGGACTTTAGGCCAAAGGATATAAAGAGTTAAGTAACTCTCATTGCTATTTTTTTTCAGAATGATTAAACCAATTAATAACTCCATCAACAACGTATTAGTGAACTGTCTTCCTGCTTCCCTTCAACATTGCCTATTTACGTCTTTTGTCATCTTTGTCAATCTGTTGGGCTTCACAAGGCTAACAAAAGATGGAGCTGAGACTTGAATTCTTATCTGCTAACTCCAAATCGTATACATTTTCCTTTATACCACACTACTTCTGCCTCCAATTTACAGGTCAGAATCCAGTCCTGCCTTTCTTTTCTTTCTTTCTTTATTTGTTCATTTATTTATTTATTCATTTGCTCACTTATTCATTCATTCATTCATTCATTTGTTTATTTATTAAGCAATCAGGGTTAGGCAATTTGCCCAGGCTCCCACAGCTAGTAAGTGTCTGAGGCTGGATTTGAATTCAGGTCCTCTTGATTCCAGGGCTAGTGCTTTATCCACTTCACCATCAACTGCCCCCCTCCCCAGTCCTTCCTTCTGCAAGAGGGGCTTCGGCATAATTAGATCATAGACAAAGAATTGGTAGAACTCCGGAGGCCAGCTAATCCAACTGTCATTTTCTTTCTTTCTTTCTTTCTTTCTTTCTTTCTTTCTTTCTTTCTTTCTTTCTTTCTTTCTTTCTTTCTTTCTTTCTTTCTTTCTTTCTTTCTTTCTTTCTTTCTTTCTTTCTTTCTTTCTTTCTTTCTTCCTTCCTTCCTTCCTTCCTTCCTTCCTTCCTTCCTTCCTTCCTTCCTTCCTTCCTTCCTTCCTTTCTTTCTTTCTTTCTTTCTTTCTTTCTTTCTTTCTTTCTTTCTTTCTTTCTTTCTTTCTTTCTTTCTTTCTTTTTTTCCCTACTTTTGGGTGAGGCAATCAGGGTTAAGTGACTTGCCCAAGGTCACACAGCTAGTAAGTGTCAAGTGTCTGAGGCTGCATTTGAACTCAGGTTCTCCTGACTCCAAGGCCAGAGCTCTATCTACTGCACCACCTAGCTGGCCCCCAACTATCATTTTAAGAGGAGTAAACTGAGGCCCAGAAAAGCAATTTCCCCAAGGCCATGTACATAATACATACCAGTGGCAGATGTTGAGCCCAGAACCTCATAATTCAGAGTCAGTGTTCTTGTCTGGCCCAGTTCTAGAGCAGAACCTAAAGCAGGAGTAGGGAACCTGATCTAAAGTATGAAGGATTTGATTTGAGGGCCAACAAAAGAATCCCCTTTCCTTCATGTAGTGAGCACAGACTATTCCAAAGTTCTTTGTTAAAATTACATTATTTCACCTGGGGTACCCTCAGATTAAGCCCAGTTCTGTTAAACCCAGAGATTCAGTTCAGAGCCAAGAGGTGTACATTTATTCTGTGGTGATTCTTCAGATTAGCCAGCTCAAAGGAGTAGGGTTTGGAGGGAAATAGGCACAGGTCAGGTCATTTATTTCTTTACCTGACATTTATATAGCTCATTAAAGTTTACAAAGTATTTTACATGTATTATTTCTTTGGATCCTCACAACTCAATGAGGCTGATGGTGGCTGCCATCATTGGCCTGGAAGGATGTCATTGGTATGAGGAGCTTTTGTTTCGTTTTAAAGACTAAGGCCTAGAGAAGGGAAGGGACTTGACCAAGGTCATATAGCTAAGAGGAATAATAGATGAAATTTAAAGCCAGATCTCTCTTGACTCCAAATTCTACCCCCTTTTCACAATAATTGTTCAGTCTTACTGGAAGTTTGAGGAAGGGCCAGAGCATGGGGCAGTGTAGGAAAGGTGGACCCCAGAGAGGCATCAAAGTGAGTGCCCTGGACCCTTGGGAGCAGTGGGAAGGTGACGAGCACTCGTTGTGTTGGGTGGTGGTTTAATTCTCCTCCTGCCACATGAACATTCAAAACTACTTTTTTTTTTCTGGCAGAATGGCAGATTCAAGAGAAGTAAATCTTCCACTATCCAGGTGCTGTGATGTCTGAATCAAAGAATTATTGTACAAAGAATGTTGGAGTGGAAAAGAAACACATAACATGTAAGTTTACAACTGGATAAACCTTAGAACAGAGAATGTCAGAGATGAGAAGGGGCCTTAGAAGAGGGAATGTCAGGGCTGGGAGGGCCTTAGAACAGGGAATGTCAGGGCTGAGAAGGGTGTTAGAACAGGGAATGTCAGGGCTGGGAGGAGCCTTAGAACAGGGGATGTCACAGTTAGAGGTAATTTTAGAATCAAGATTTATTTCTCCCATAAGTTATGGGGAAAAGATGAAGGTAATAGATGAAAGGAGACATTGAATCCTAGGGAGGAGAGGGTTAGAAGAGTCAGAAAAAGGAGCAGAAGCAGTTAGACATCAGCAAAAACATTGAAAACCTACAGACATAAAACTTGTCTTTTCCCCCAACCCCATTTGATTTCTTTGGGAAAAGCAGGAGGGTAGGCCCAGTAACTGAGCACCATCCTCCTCAAAGAAAACTTTTCAGGTGAGTTCCTTTAAGGCTTATTGTAATGGGCAGCTAGGTAAATAAAGTGCTGGAGTCTGGAAGATTTGAGCTCAAATCTAGCTTCATCCATTTACTAATGGTGTGACCTTGGGCAAGTCCCTTAACCCTCTTTGCCTCAGGACCTCATTTGTAAAATGAACTGGAGAAGGAAATGGCAAACCACTTCAGTATCTCTGCCAAGAAAACCCCAGATGGGGTCACAAAGAGTCAGGCACCACTGAAAAATGATTAAAACAACAGCTATTGTAATGGGGAGCCCTCTGATCCCCTTTATGCTCCAGCTGAGAAGAGAACTGAAGAACATGCAAGTTTGGAGCATTAAGGACCGCCAAAAATGTATTTTGACTTTTGTCTATGTACACATTGCCTTCCTGGTTAGAATGTAAGCTCTTTGAGGGCAGGAATTGTTTCCAGTGGAAATCTCAATGGGGCTTCCATGACCTACCCTCCACAATCTTAACCACCAGAAGGAACTCTCAGGAGAATCTGCTAATAGAGGAGTCCTCTGCCTTGGGCTGGACAAACCCAATCACTGAATGTTCTCTGTGACTGTTGAGGAGGCCTGGGGTCTAATTCTACCCCTCCCTGAACATATTCCACACTTATCTGAGCTGAGGCTACTTGGTTACAGGAACTGGGGGATCACAGAAAGAACATGGAACTTGGAGTCAGACAAGGCCTCCATCTGAGTCTGACTTTTGCTGTTCTCTTCTTGAATGACCTTGGAGAAGTACCATGCCTTCTCTGAGCCTCATTTTCCCCATCTGTAAAATGATCCTCTTTAAAGTCCATTTCAACTTTCACAATCAATTTCACAGGTATCTATTAAATTCTGACTATTTGTCATGTGAGGTCCTAGGCAAGGCAGATAGAGAGAGATATAAAGATTCCCATACCTCAAGCTCTTTGCACTAAGATCTTTCAGAGCTTTCACATTGTGTGTTCTAAGGCCCCTCCCAGCCCTGACATCCTGTGTTCCAAGGCCCCTTCTAGCCCTGACACTCCCTGTTGTAAGGCCACTTCCAGCCCTGACATCCTCTGTTCCAAGGCCCCTCCCAGCCCTGACACTCCCTGTTGTAAGGCCACTTCCAGCCCTGATATCCTGTGTTCCAAGGCCCTCCCAGTTCTGACATTCACTGTTTGAAGGCTCTTCCCAGCTCTAATACTTATTGACCTGGATATCAATTCCACCACCAACTTCCCTCATAAACATTTTTCTTCTCCAGGAAAAATGTCTCCATTTTTTCCCAGCTGATTCTGAAATATCAGGCTGCTGGTGACATGGTGGGTAAGGCACAGAACTTGGAGTTAGGAAGGTTGTTGTTCAATCATGTCCTACTCCATCTGAACCCATTTGGGATTTGCTTGGCGAAAATACTGGAGTGGTTTGCCATTTCATTCTCCATCTCATTTTATAGATGAGGAAAC